TTTTTCTCTCAGCACGAAAAGCACATGTGCTAAGTCGATACTTGCAATAAAATTACATTATTACAGATCAAACTGCTTACTTATTGTTTAAACAAGGCTATCAAATCTAACATTAAATTTGGCAACCCTTGCGGGGAACAGATTAATATATAATATACTCGAATCGGGATTCTCCGCCCTCAAGATTCTACATAACCTCACACCGAGGCAAGCAGTTATGGCGCTCAAGAAAGAAGAAGCCCTAGCTAAATATATACAAAACTTCTCCATTAACACCAATAAGGTACCCAAGACAAAGCAGACAAAAGGCTACTTCGTCGCGCGGAAGCACTTGCTGGAAGACTACTGGGCCAAATACAGTGCGAATTATGATGAAGTTCGCAATATCGAGCCTACTGAGGAAAGCGAGAATCAGTTGACAAATGTGCTAGCAGATGGTCATTTCGATGCAGTAGAAACTGCTTATTGCGAAGCTGTCGGTGAACTTAACGACTCCATCGAGCAGTTGTCTATCGCTGGGCATGATACGACATCCGTTCGACTTCCGCACTCCTCAGCGTGCGCGATATCAATTTTGCCTAAAATTGAACTCCCTAAGTTCGATGGCAAGCTGCAGGGCTGGTTGCAATTTAAAGACATGTTCACGACGTTGGTAATTGGTGACAAGTCCTTGTCGAATGTGCAGCGCTTGCATTACCTAAAGATCAGTACGAATGGCGAAGCAGAAACTCTGCTGAAGAATATCTCTGTGATTGACAGCAACTTCTTCATTGCATGGGATACTTTATGCCAGCGCTACGATAGCAAAAGGCGATTAGTGAAGATGTACTTAAAAGAAATCCTTAATATTCCTTACTCTCAAACCGAATCGTCTGCATCAATTCGTAAAATTTTGAACGGCTTTTCTGAAGCCATTTGGGCGCTTGAGCGTTTGGAGTGTCCAACCTCTAAATGGGATGACTGGCTGTTGTTTTTAGTGACTGAAAAACTTGATCCCAGCACTGTCAGAGATTGGGAAATCTCACTCGAATCGCCAAATCATATTCCAACTTACAATGAGCTTGTGAAGTTTCTGGAGAGTCGTGTACAAGGCCTTGAGTCAATGGGCGCAACCTCAAAGCAAAAACAAAAGGATTTTGGACCTAAGGTAACTCAAGCACTACCCGTGCGCAGCCATCTTAGCGGCGTCACTCGATGCAGCAGTTGTTCAGGTAAACACATTCTTATGTTTTGCCCTGAATTCCGAAAACTTTCACCAGCACTTAAGCTAAACTTCGTTCAAAAGAATAAATTATGCTAGAATTACCTAAAGGCTGGTCATTGGTTTAACGAATGTACATCTGCATACCCCTGACAAAAAATTTAATCAAAAACACCATACTATGTTACATGACGGCATGCATCCGATCAGTATTGCAACGCACCACGCTCGTGCCTACGATGAAGACACAACAATAACAACATCACAGGACCATGTAGTGCTCGCTACAGCTCAGATAAATGTACGTTCAGAAAATGGCTACTGTCTACAACTCACAGCACTTTTGGACAGAGGGTCTCAGGCGTCTTTTATTACGGAGTTTGCGGCGCAACAATTACACCTTAAACGTAGACGCTTGCAGGTCCCGGTAACTGGAATAGGATGTACAAATGCTGCAGTCTCTTCAGGCTTAGTGGAATTCGACGTTAGCTCTATCTGCGACCCAGGTTTCAACATTGGGTGTACAGCGTTAGTTTTACCACGTTTAAGTCAACAGTTACCAGGCGCTCGCTTGGATCCTACGCTTTTTACTGACCTTTTAAATCTGAATCTTGCAGATCCTAGATTCTATGAGCCTGGTCCGATAGACGTAATTTTAGGAGCTGACATTTACGGACACTTGCTCTGCGGTGAACTAAAGTAGTCATTCACGAGCGCCTCCGTGGCACAGCATACACACTTAGGTTGGGTCATTCATGGACGTTGTACTGAATATATCGCCCCACTACTCACAAGATTTTGTGCGGCAACAGCAATCGAGCTCAACGAGTTAGTTAAAGCTCTTTGCGCTTTTAACGCGTGTGAAGATGGCGAATCGTCATCTAAACTCACTCTTGATGAGATTTACTGCGAAAACTTCTTCGAACGTACAACTCGCCGGACCGGATCCGGTCGCTATATAGTACGCTACCCATTTAAACCATCAGCTGACTTGTCTGTGCTTGCAGATACTAAATATGATGCTGAAAAGCTTTATCATTATCAGAACAAACGCCTGAACAATGATATTTCTTTTAAAACACTCTATGATGAGTTTATGTCCGAATATCTCCAACTCGGTTACATGCAACCTGTTTGCGAGGACTTTGAGCCGCAGCCTGTCTGCTATATTCCCCACCACGGTGTTTATAAAGGCTCAAGCTCAACTACAAAACTACGAACCGTTTTAACACATCACGTGAAACGAAATGTGGTAGGTCACTAAACGACTGCTTGCTTGTTGGACCA